GGTGTGCACACCGATCATTACGAAGATGTACCAGGCAGCTGGTGGTGAAGGTGGTATGCCGGGCGGATTCCCTGGTGGTATGCCCGGTGGGTTCCCTGGTGGTATGCCGGGTGCCGGTGGGGCTCCCGGTGGTGGCGCTGGCGGCAAAGGACCGACCATCGAGGAGGTTGATTAATCTATACGTTCCATTGTCCTAATAAATCGAGATTGGTTTCTTTCTTTATTGCTTTTTGTTCTATTTTACCGGTAGTGGGTTCGTTGTTCGTCTTTAGCAGGGTGTTGGTGCTCCTGATGGTCGTGGTCTGGGAGCTGGCAATGCGGTCGCGATTGTGCCATCGACTCTTGTGGTATCGTTCTAGAGCGAGGTTAACCGATCGGCCTAAACTTACAAGTTTAAATCCAACGGGGTTCGCTTTTTCGTTCTAACAAAGCTTGGTATTGAAGAAGTTTTGCTTGCTTCAGTTTCGCCATCTCGTTTGTATTGGTTAGTCTATATTGGGTTTTTGCTTTTACGGGCATTCCGTAACTTTCTACTGCACAACTTCTTTATCCTGTCCCCGGTCGACTCTCTTGAATGTGAATAGAGTTCCATCGGTGATACGGGGACAGGGTCACTCGAATGAGTGTTTCGAAAAGTTGGTCGTCGGTTGTTGTTGTCTTCTGGCTCAAATGGGTTCCCGTTTCCGCTAGTGTTTCCGTCCTGTTGCGTGTCCGTATTATGTTAGATTCTAAATTGCTGTTTCACGTTTCTGAACTATAGTCATTCGGAAATGCGCCTGTGCTTTTTCGGTTTGTACGTTCCACGCTTCTTTACGGTCGCAGATAGCTAGCTTTTGAGAGTAGCGTAGAAGTTCTCGGGGCTATTGCAGCAGTTTTCACTTTATCGGGCGCTTGCATATTGCTGAGTACGAATGAGTTGACTTCCTGCTGATTTTGAAGTATTATTCGAATATTTACTTGCTGAAGCTACGGCTAGGGTATCTCGTGACGTTGACCTTTGAAGTTAATTTCACGTATCGACCGTATTTCGGACAGAACTGGGATGTCATTCGTGTAAGTGAACCACTCCGGCACTGCAGTTCTTGGGCAAACCTGTGTGTCGGCTCCGTTGGCCGGTCACTAGGGCTGGATTGAGAGCGTTCTGTGGCGATTAAGTCAGCGCAACTAGTGCTACCCAATGTTTTTCTGTTTGGTAAATGGTGCCAAAAGTGCCGTTGTATGGGGTCTGAGAAAGTTTTGGAACGTTTTCTGCACATGTTCAGTTTATTATGCAATCTTGACGTGGAAATCGTCTATTTCTTCGTTTACTCTGTGGGCGTGACTGGAATGACCGTCTAGACGACACCAGTCACGTGATACGACAGATCCGCCTTGCGCTGCGTTCGACTGAACAGCACTCACACAGAATGTGTTTCTAGTGGGATTGGATGTCTGAACGCTTACATATTCTGTGCATTTCTGTGGCATTTCGGTTTTCGTTTACAGATTTACAGAATCTATTCCGTCTGGTAACCTTGTGCTTACCAAAGGATGATTTCACTGTTGATGTGGTTTAACAATAAGTTGATTATACACGATATAGCGCAACCCATCTATGAGATCTTGTTGCGAGTATCGGTCCATGTTCATCTCAAAACTAGACTCCAGCGTTATGACTCGGTCGGAAACCTTCACAACTTGATCAATTTTTGTTGTATGAGATTAATGGAGGATTTGATTTGTTCATATGATAAATTCTTCTTGTAAATGAGGCGTGAGCTGAAAAGCTAGGAAGCACTGGACAGCTGTTTCGACCTGGTTGGGTCTCATCGGCAGTGCGAATCCATCGATCCAACTGGGGCTCGAACCCGGGACCTCACAGATAGGACGCAAGCATACTATACATTCGGGCAGCTAATCAGGCCGTTTCTCGTTTCGAAAGTACACGATATAGCACAACCTATCTATGCGAGTTTGCTGTGAGTATCGGTCCTCGCTCATCCCGGGTTCCATCCCCGATTGGATCGATGGATTCACATTTCAGATGAGACCCGACAAGATCGAAACAGCTGTCCAGTGCTTCCTAGCTTTTCAGCTCACGTCTCATTAACAAGACGAATTCATCATATGAACAAATCAAATCTTCCAACTATCTCATTGAACAAAAAAGCAGGAACGTGTATCCCATCGGTTGGCAGTATCTCGGGCGCATGACTCACCACAGGTAGTTTACCTTTGAGTAAGCAGCGGTAGCAGAAGAAAAGGGAAAGTTCGAAACTGCGCAGAATGACCGTTTGGCTGTTACTGAAAAGGCAAAACACAAACATTAGTGAAGGCCCCCTCCCCCTAAATTTCATAACCCTTTTCTAAAATTGAAATGGTCACAATGACAGTTTAGTTGTTCTCGTGCCTCGTTTTACTGTGCCCTCGAGCTACACGTAGAATCTAGTGCGGTGTCAAGCATCCAAGAATTTATACTTTCGGTAAAATCTGATTTTAAGGATTGTACAAGTTCAAGAAATCAAATCAACGAAATCATCTAGAGTGGGTTGCTTCAAACACTTTTCCTAGTCATGTGACCGTTCAACCGGTCTTCTCGTTGTCGTCACTCCATTCCGTTGCTGTGGTGATCCAGGCCTACGTGATGACACCTACGCTGCAGCGGCGCGTTACAGTTTCTGGACATCTGCGATCAATAAAATTTGAAAAATGACGTCAATGACGCGCGTACGGCTTCTGACTACACGCCATAGACAGGTTGTGCCAAACAATCCGAAATAGTGCAGACAGAAGAAGAACTATACAAGCAATACTGCAATCCGATTGTTGGGAGCCTAGATAACCAATAATCTCCTTTTGTACATATTATTTAATCGTCTTCATTTCTTCCAATAAACGAACTACGAGTTGCCAGTTTTGTGGTCTTTTTCTCGCGTCTCGTTCACATCAGATATTGCGAGCTTGTACCATTGCGGTCCAGTGCTTCCGTAATCCAGTCCGTGATGGACAATTTTGATTCGTGTCTGGTGATTCCTATTACATAGTTCGTGTTCCAAATTCCGTGCGTACTTCTACTAGCACTGCAAGCATTACAACTACCCATCGCACCCAACATCTCAGACCGTTGGTATGGTGTTGGACGCCTATTTCTCACATCGACGTATTTCCAGCGTGGAAGTTATTGTAAGGCAGCAATAGTGCTAAACAAATGATTATCTCTCGTCGACAATGTGAATCGTCACTTGAGCTTGGCAGTTTTATTGGAGATATCTAAAGCAGAACATGTAATTACCAATTCCACTTACTTGAAACAGACCGATTTTGTTGTCGATGCAAGCAGCAATACGTGATGAATTGATAAGTATTACTCTCCTGAAGATTGTAGTCGTGCGGTTTGTCCCAAGCCTCACCAATTCCTGAGTTACAAATGTAGAACGAAGAGGGCGTTTTACGCTGATAGGTACGAAATTGGTGACATAGTCCTCAAATCTCATGTACGAACTGCTCATGAACCGACGGAAGAGAGCAGAATCTTCAACTGGAACCAGAGTAATGATAGCAGTGACCGAAAAAATAAGGGGACTGTAGTGAGTCAATCCGAAATGACGCCAGCCAAGCGCCTAGGCGTTGCAGTTTCCGGACATTAGGCCATGGACCAGCAGTATCGATCACTCAACAGCCTAACAGAGCAAGCAGAAGGTGTGACTCGAAGAATAAGGATGGCGATTCGTTAGTATTTGTTTGTCCAAGGATATTTCTTCTTTTGGAATTAATCTCGGGAAAGGCTTGCTACAATGATGTTTCCATTTACATATTATTAAATAACATTCATTTCTCCCAATAAATGAACCGCTACTTCTGTGGCCCTTTCCTGCTTCTGGGTGACAGGAGATTCCAGCATACAACTGTTAGATATTTCATTGAAAGGATCCAATACTCTAGAATAACACTAGCCAGGAAGCGATGCGATGCAATTTCAAGATGACGAAAAAAACCGATGCTCTGGTCCAATCAAATTGGCTGCAGTTAAATCAAAAATACTGCTGTTGGGAGAACACGAAACACTGATTGGTTAACGTCCAGTAAACTTTCTCTGTACATACTATTTAATTAGTTTGATTTCTGCCAATAAACTAACCTATACGTTTGTGGTTTTCTTTTGCCTCTCGATATTGAAAGGTTCCGGCAGCCCATGACGATTTCTGGTAGGCAGATATTTCGCGTGCCACGGTCATGTTTGAGCATAGGTGAGAAAAGGCCATTTGGACCGGCTGCGTTCATCAGTTTCGTATCCATAGGAATAGGAAATACCTTCTTTCTCATGGGAAAATACATCATTATTAGACCAGCAGCAATAGGTGTGGGTGAGCAAATAGTCACAAGGGTAATTAAACCAATCATTGATGCTGTCCACACAATATCCTGATCTTTTACCGTGGGTGCATTCCATATCTTGTTTGCGTCATTCTGCTTCTGTCGGGACTGCACGGTCTCGGATTAGCCGGCACGATCTGCCTATGGTTTTTAGTCAGAAGCAGTGATACGTACGCGCGTCATTGACGTCACCTTTCAAATTTGGTTGATCGCAGGTGTCCAAAAAGTGTAGCGCATTGCTCCAGGGTAGGCGTCATCTCGTAGACCTGGATCACCACAGTAACCCGTTGCAGGCATTTGGTTTTCGTCGCATGCGAACCCTAACATCTTAGAGGTTGAAGACAGAGGCCAAACAACGACGCCCCGAGGAACCTACATTGCCAATCCGGAGGCAGGTTTGCAGTGTCTGCCACCTGGATGAACCACTAGTGCACTGAGAAGAAGAAATACAATGGGTTTAGTATTGTCTTTATCAAATGTATACCCTATTTCAATGCTCTGGATTCAAATACGGGGATCGATTTGTGTGCGTGCATTGTCTAAGTCGATGATCTAGGCGGAACACGTTTCGAAAGAATGAGGAACTGTTGCCGTACAGAGTCACGCCATTCTGAATCACTTTGCTCTTCGTCTTTGTTCATGTGCCTGGGGTAGGACCGATGTTGTTGGTATAAGACGTTAGAATTTAAGGTTTGTATAATAATTTTCCAATGATTGACGGTTGCGACCGCGTCTTGGGAGGTAAGATTATTCCTTCAGAATGCGTAGATTACTTGAAAAGAGAAAAGAAAGGAGTGAGCCTAGACTACAGAGTTGTTTGCTTTTACACAGAGCAAAGTGATGAGTGTCATTTTAGAGAGAGCGACAAAGCCGTTTCGGAGTGTATCGTTAAGAGCCCCATCGACGCCAGAACGGGCGGGAAGGCAAATTATCCCGCGTTAGAATGTTCGCGACTTACCCATCCGTAATCTCCTTTCCAATCCGCAATCGGAAAATGAGTCTTCCG